AGTCATCTGTGTACCAAGTTTGTTTGAAATTGTTCAAGGCGTTCCAGAGTTATGCTGGAACGAACACACACACAAAGAGACACACCCACACCAGAGGTGTTTTACACCATCACCCCCAAGTATTTGTTTCCAGAGAGTAAGTCATCTGTGTACCAAGTTTGGTTGAAATTGCTCAAGGCGTTCCAGAGTAACGCTGGAACGAACATACATACATACATACATACATACATACATACATACATACATACATACATACATACATACATACATACAGCCTTTTTTGTATAGATTGAATTAATTAATTAATTAATTAATTAATACTTTTTATAAATAAATATTAGCCTCATGTCTGAAGAATAAAAATCTCTTTATATCTTTTACTTATAATAAAAATAAGATTTCAACTTGCCTTTCCTGGAATTTTCAAGATACATTTTACTCTCTCAAGAACAAGCTCAACATCCCCTGAATTCTTCAGTTTCTTTTTAATGTGCTCTTCCAATAGGTCCCATTGGAAAGCACCTAAAGATATGAAACAAGTACTTTTAAAATGGCATACAGGACATCACTTTTAGCACAAGTTATCAATCAAGATACCAATCAGATGTGTGTATGAGCTCCCTTAATGATTGCAACTCTGTGCAAACAGTATTTAATTTTTATAGATTCCACTGCATTGTCTTTCACTGAATCTAATAAAAGGCAATTTTTACCCATTCACCCATAGAAATTTCACTGATATTGTGCACTGCCACCCTGCCATAATTTTATTTAGAAGCAGCAATTATCTTCTTTCCTGCCAATTCAGATACTCATAATAGGAGGAAAACATCATTTCTTTCCCTTGGCTGAAAAAGGAAAACAAAAGCCTTCACCTCTACTCTACACAAAAAGGAGAGAACAGAAATAAACCAACAGGCCAATAGTGTACATACAGCATAAGATCTGTGGAGTCCTTGGAGCTCTCTAAGCTCTAAGTTTCATTACCCAACTAAGTAACATGATCAATGTTATGAATGGGAGGTTTGCTGCCTGTTTATATACACTAAGTGACCTTGTCAGTATTTGTGGGGATGGGATACATGTAGTCTTCACAATTGAAACCATAATTTCTTCTGCTAAGTGAGACAGTTGTTAAATAAATTTAGAACCATTCTTGCCTCAATTGTTAAATGACTCACAGCAATTATTAAGTTACTAACATGGGTGCTAAGTGAATCTGACTTCCCCATTGGCTTTGTTTGTCAGACGATCACAAAAGATAATCACACGATCTCAGAATATTACAGTTGTTATAAATATAGTCAGTTGCCAAGCCTCTGAATGTTGGCCAGATGATCATGGGAATGCTGCAACAGTTGTAAGTGTGAAAAAATGATGATGTCACTTTTTCAGTACCACTAAATGAACATTACTCAAGAAGTACCTATGTTTTCATTAATAGTTCATCGATTGTTTTCTGCTTGATTGTTTGCCTGGGGTTAATCCCGGGTTATCTGGATGGTGGTTACTACAGAAGATGTATGCTGATCCTTTTGTTTGCTTCTTCTCCTTTTTGTTGTTTCTTTTGAATGGTGCATAAATGTGGTTTATCTCTATATAGGAACTTTTCCAGATGCCATAGAATCTTCCCAAGCCTCAAAGAAGTAGAAAACTGGGAAAATACTAGTATTGTGCTTTAGTAATAACAGTTTAAACTGAAGGATCTAAATGTAATCTAGTTATACTTAGTTTCTGCTGTAAATAGGACTTCTGTGCTCAGTGTTTTGTATTTTAATTGTTTGTACCAGGACTGTACATTAAATAACTGAAAAAATAGCTCAGGGTCCAGGAAAAGGGGTGACACAGGTTGTTTCCAATTGGAACACAGAACTACAATTTTTCTAAACCCCAGCCCCAAATGAGTTTCCTATGACTTTCACTTATATTGCAGCTAAGCCAGTAATAAGTCAAAACTTGTTTTCCAGCCAGCCAGAATCCTGCCATAGAAGTTCCTTCAGCTGACTACTTTCACTAAACTAGGATTTTGTCCTTCATCATTCTGTTTCTCTGTTTAGGTAAAGAAATATCTCTGAAACAATGACCAATGAGCAACATTCTTTTAACCAAAGTATCTCAAATGGGATAACTTCCAGAATCTTGGACTCAGCCACAACAAATGTTATAAAGCACTTTGTGACATAAAATGATCATAAAACGTTTTATGACATAATACAAAATGTCATAAAATATTTCCTGTGATCAACTTCTTGTGTTTCATTGTGCCATACAGTTCAACATGAGGTACTTTCAAGGCAGATACATCTCTGAATAGCTCCCTGAATTTTTAAGAACGTTTCAGTACATTAAAACATCTGCCACTGTTGAAGGCATTAAGGAATCTGGTAAGGAAATATCTCTACGATGGCCAATGGGTTATGGGTTGCCTACTGACTTTTAAATGATCAAAGAAAATAGAAAACACTATAGATATTCTTCAAAGTCTGCTGAAAGTCCTCTATAATATGACTGGCATTCGGATGGCTGTGATCCCATATGGTTATAAACCTCCTTTCTGGATTTGGCAGTAGAGAGAAAACATTTTTGTTCTGTAGCAGCTTATCATACATTGAAAAAAACCTATCCCCACGTGTTCATCCAGATATCTTTAGTATCACAGTATTTTGTATTTCTATACTCTTCTTCTGATGCATACACAGACCTCTTGGAAAACACGGGCTCCCAACTTAGGGAATAAACCTAATAAGCATGTAAGTGGAAGTTGATGGGAGATCTGTGTGCTTACAGAAACAACCCTACAATAAAAAAGCTTTTTATAAGAATATTTTTTTAAATGGACTTCTCTCATAGTTTGGTGGACTAGGAACACATGTCTCCACCTGTACTCTGAAGGGATACTGTCAAAGTATACACTAACTCGAAATGCATAGGCTTCCATATTAATAAAATAATATGTACTCCGCTGGCAGTAAGTAACCTCTTCCTTGTTAACAGACAATAAACAGCTGGAACTATTGTGAGAGGATACCTGAATAAATGAAGTGCAGAATATCTGTCAAACAAGAGGAGAAGAATGAGTCTTTAACAATGACTCTTACTGGTGAACCACATGATGTGCCATGTTTTAATATGGGAAACAGAGTTTCCTGAGAGGCTGCAAAGAGAGACTGAGCAGTTCTAATGATAGAAGGATCCTGAATGTCAGTTGGGTTCTTCACATTAAAAAGCAACATGAAGACATGGCTAATAGAGCATAAAACAATCCTGTGTGCTTTTGCTACCTCCTTCATGTCTTCAGAGTAAAATATCACATCAACACACTGGCAGCAGAACAACAAGTTATGTAAATCAGAATCATAATGTGAGGCTTCGCCTTTTAAGATAGGCATTTTTTCTAAAAGAGAGAGAGAGGGAGGGAGGGAGAGAGAGAGAGAGAGAGAGAGAATATATTAGAAAAGAATTCATAAAATCATTGTTCATAAAATTATCACAGTTGAAACTCTGCTCTTTCCCACATAAAATAAGATTGTCTTGTCTTAGAATAGGGTGACTGCTTTTATCATTTGTCTATCTCCCCATTTTACATATGCAGCTCACGAGGCTGGCTGCTTTCATACAGTATAAACTAAGTTAAAATGTTGTTGTTTCACAACTCAGTTTGTCTCATAAAAAAGAGCTTTATGAGGATTTTTTAAGTAAGGCAATTCTGCTCCTAAATAATAGGCTTGGAATATCCAGGCTACAAAAATATATAGAACTACATGATTTGTTGAAATAGTATTTCATAATATGAAATGTTATTTCAACAAATTTAAATAATTTCAAGCACGGAATAATTATGAATTATTTCATAATATTTCAATTAATGGTTTATTATAATAAAGACATGTTCTTGGACTCTGCTCAGTTTGCCTCATTATTTCACCCATTATAATCTATGCTGCTACCAGGCACAAAAGGATTGCTCAATCCTGTACAAAAGGAAAGATCTAAGACCACTTCTTTGTACCAATCTCATTCTAGATAATATTTTGGACATAAAAATCAGATAGCAACATCTCTTTTATTTGTGCCTTCAAGTCAGTCTTTGTGCCATCAAGTTAGTCGTCCCAAAGGTGCTTTTTCAAAAGGCAACTGGACTTTGTTTTTCCTTGAAGACATTTCGCTTCTCATCCAAGAAGGAAACTTCTTGGAGGAGAAGTGAAACATCTTCAAGGAAAAATGAAGTCCAGTTGTTTTTCAAAAAAACACCTTTGGGACAACCATGACCTGGGTGACTAAGAATCTCCATAGACCTTCAAGTCAATCCTGGCAACTGCCTGTACTAGATTCTTTAAAATTGAGATGAGTGGACAGAAAATGGCATACGATACCAACTTATTATTTTGCAATTTGGTAATCAGACATTCTACGCTTATCCTGAAAAATAAAGAGCATTTTGAGATGTCCAATTTATATTGGGAAATGAAATGAAACATAAAATAATAATTATCTGCTCATAATTCATGGATTACTTTACGTCAGTAGTAAATTTCTGTTAGCATTATCTGGACCTGAAAGGTCACCATTAAAAATTCTACATCAACTTCTTCCTATATTTTATATAATCAGAGAACATTATGCCCTATGTAATTGATGGGAAACATGCCCGTATCCTGACACAATTATCCACACACTGATGAAGACTCTGTACAATATTATTATTTTAAAGGGGGGGGGGACATTCAAATGGATGTTCTAGTTTCCATCCTGTTACCATTTATTCTTCTGAATGCTTCTGGAATTATAAACCATAGAATAAGGATGGTATATGATATCCTTAAAGACAAGCATTTTGTTTTAAAGCACTCCTGTCCATCTTCAAGAAAAAAAGAAGGAAAGGACAAACCCTACAGATAATCCACAACTTACAACTTGTTGTTTTGGTGAATGTGATATTTTATATTTTATTATATTTTATTTTTTATATTCATGGCAGCAATTATTTTAAGAATTAGCTCCTCTGATGAAAGTCACTTCGTAATGCTGCATTGATCATGACAAATTTCCAAATGTTCTCTCTGGCCCAGAAATGTTGGAGATTCCATTAGGAAATACAATTTTAAATACTAATCTCACGAGCTCTGTAAATTACATTATACAATCCACTGCAACAGATATTGGAAGGCACCTGGCTGATCAAGCTGAGGTGGCTTAACTCCATGACATTTATGGCTTTTCTTCCTTTTCTTCATTTTTTCAGATGATTTCTGATTCAAGCTTTGTATCATAAAATATTCCAGCTAAAATCAAACAAAAATGTATCACTAAATTTTGTAATAAAACTTATTTAAGAAGATGCAATTGATCAGTGTTATCCAAGTATTTCTAATTACTACTGTTGTGTTAATCTAAACTTTCCTAAATGCTCTGGATATAAATAGTTTGCAATCCTGCTTAAAAACTGTTTAATTCTCACTAAAACCAGCAGAAAGTAATCTAACGAGATTATATATCTGTAACAAAAATGCAGCTGACTGTAGAGTACTGAAAGTGTTAGAAACTATTTTTATAGTGTAAAAATCCTGCTTTCCTGGACCAAATCATGTAATTTCATTTTCTCTGAAATCACATAAATGCCCAGCTAAAATTGCCACTGAGAGAACAAGAGACAAACAGCAAATAATCACAGTTAACCTGAGGTGACAGTCTGTGCTGCCCTTACCGTTCATTGCAACAGGTAGGCAGAATGACATACTGTATGGTAAGGTCTACATTTTTCTTCCAGATTTAATAACACAACTTTCTAAGACCACCATAATAAAATAGTAAAAGTTCATTATAACAAATAAGAAATTTATACAATTTATAAAATTATACTTTTATAAAAGATATATAAAAAATGTTGTATGCTCTAAAGATCCAAAGTCACATGTGTAATGAAAGCCATGTTTAGTATTGATTTAGCCTTGTGACAGAATTAGGAATAATTAACTTGTGATTTATAAGGAAAGATAGCCCTAAAATTAGTGCAAGTGGGGTATTAATATGCTTATCCTCAGAGTATGTTTTCACAAATAATATTTAACACTTCACAGAATTTTTGTGTGAGATATAAATGTAATAATAGTTACATGACATTATATAAGAGATATGTGTTTAAAGTGGCAATAAAAACTATTTCATTTTTATTTTACCAGCACTTAGAAATGTTGCAACTATTTGTTTTATAAATGAGAGATACCATGTGTTTACATAAAAATATAATTAGCACACTTTACAAGTGATGATCCCTCATGCTTTTTTAAAAAATAGTTTGAGGAATACATCTAGAATAACTTTCCTTATTATTCTAGATTATTGATTACCCTATTTTTTTGATGTGAAAAATTCACATGCATTGAAGCCCCTTTTTAAATCTGCTGAATCAACAAAGTTGATGGCATAGTAGTTAGAATGCAGTACTGCTGGCAGACTCTGCCCACAGTCTGGAGGTTGATCCTGATCAGTTAAAAGGTTGACTCAGCCTTCCATTCTTCCAAGGTTGGTAAAATGAGTACCCAGATTGTTGAGGGCAATATGCTGATATTGTAAACCATCCAGAGGGTGCCGTAAAGCACTATGGAGCAGTATGTAAGTCTATTGCTAAGTGATATTGCAACTTCCAAATTAAGATTAGTGATTCTACTAGTAGCAGCATATATTATTTCTCAGAAATATTTTGAGAACCATTGTTTATATTTTAAGAAATTAATTCATTTGTAAATGCCATTTATTTTATGACTGAGTTTATTTCTCTAAGTCAAATTAATTTAATGGTGATTATATTTACAACATCTAATATTTATTTAGCCAATGATCAACTGAATTTATTAATAGAAATGAATTAGCTGTCTTCCCTGTAGACCCCGCATGATGTGATGACACTGATCTAGAATAGTAACTTCAGGTTATTAAATTCTTAAGTACCTCATGCTATTCTTTTAAAAATGTATTTTAGAATATTAAATATAACAATCGTGGCTAGAATGTCTACACTGATTTCTGTCACATGACTATTACTCCCTCTTTCTATAAGATACTGCAGCGTATTGAGAAAAATATTAAACATATTTCTGTTACATAATTTATAATTATAAAAATAGTTTGGACTACATATACTGAAGTAATAAAATTTTAAATCAGCTCTCCATGAATTATCAACCTTCTGAGGTAGTAGGATTGCACTTTTCAGCAAAAATGTTGGGGAGAATTGCTGAGATTTGGTGAGAATTGAAAGTTTCAATCCAAATGTATCTGGAGGATGCCAATTTGCAAAAGACTGACTTATAAAAGCATGGACCCTGATTTTGTGTCACATAGTTTCACAGTTGTCCCCACTAACATCTGATCTGAATTTTGCAAACTCAAAAGAAAAACAGGAAAGACTTTCATCTTAACATATTATACTTACCACCCCACCAAAATATTTTCCTATGTAAAAATCATTGAGGCTATGCAGTTCCAAATAAGTGGCTCCTAGTTCTTTAGCAAGTTGAACACCTTCAGAAGCTGTAACACAGCTACCTCTGTCTGAGATACACAAAGGGCAAGTGCAGGGGACTTCTGTGAAAAGAAATAATTCGTGCAAAATAGTTTCAATACACTGGTTCTTATTCAATGATTCTAAACTCTAACATGTTAGTTATTCTTTAAACCATGCAGTATTATACCCCTAAGGAACAGATGTGGACAAAAAAATATATAATTATTTTAACTTGAACTGTTATTATTAGATACTATTTTTCTCTATATATTTTTTTTCATATTTTTTTTTAGTTCATTTATTAAGATTTATAGGCCGCCCTTTTCCCTGAGGGGACTCAGGGCGGCTTACAATCACAAGGGAAGGGGGTGCAGTATCAAAAGACAAAACAAAATATATATATATATATATATATA